AGTATTGAAAATGGCTAAGGAGAGTATTTCACACATATTTAGAATTAATATTCGTGATCAATTCGAGAATGCTGATCCGTCAAAACATTTTATTTATACTAGTGGACTATTACAAGATATTCAAACTAAATTTTCGGCCGTCGAACAAAGTCCATACGAAGCAGTAGCTGCTAGTGTACCGAATACTGACGATGAAACATTGCAGTGTTCTACGTTTCGCTCCTGGACTCTCGGGCTCTTATTCGTCACCCTTATTAGTGTTGTTAATCAATTTTTTTTCTTTCGCTCAAATCCATTGTCTATCGGACCTGTTATTGCACAAGTTTTATCCCTCCCTGTCGGTAAACTGATGGCCAAAGTTTTACCATCGAAATATATTCGCATATGGAAATGGCGGTTCTCCTTGAATCCTGGTCCATTTAACATGAAAGAACATACATTGATCACTGTCATGGCTAATACGGCAGCCGGAGGACAGTATGCAATGAATGTCATCGCAGTCCAGCGACTTTTTTATCATGACAAGATGACTCATGTTATTGCTACGTTCTTTCTTATTTCATCTCAAGTTATTGGGTTTGGCCTAGCAGGTATGACTCTAGTAAAAAGTAGTAGTGTGGCAATGAAAAATTCGGTTAGACTCCCAAATTAACAAAAACTATTAGACTTTTGAACTTCTTTCTACTGTTACACTCTTGTTAGGATTTTAGATTGTTAAACTATTAGACTACTAAAAAAACTAGAAGTATTTTACACATTATTTTGCATTTATTGGAACAAAATATGCGAATACATGTCATATTGATTTATTATCCGATGTGACTAGTCTACACATCAGGACTGCATGTAGCTTTTGGTAATGAGAAAAAACCACAATTGATTTCCTAATCATCCAACGATGATACTTCTCTATCATCAAGCAAGCGACAAAAATAATAAATACAGGTTTACATACATAATAATATACTCCTGGACTGAGGAAATTTCATCAACTTTTAGTCTGTTAAACTACCACCTAACAGTGAGCCTTCTCCTTTTAAATCACTACACCATACTTTCCTGTAGTCAAATTAATTTCATTGATGTCCCAACGAGTAAACAAAACGATCTTTTAAGACCACTGTACCGATTACTTAACAACGAAAATCACATATCCTAGCAACACATTTGTCATTCCTCATACCTAAGAATACTTTTTTAGCCTACTATTGTACATCAATCGACTTCCCTTTTTATTCTCTTTTTATTTTCTCTGTATTATGATATTTTCTAGTTGTACTATTTTCTCTTTTATTTTCTCACGACAAAAATCGTCATGATGGATCTCAAATCTGCTACTATTTTTAAGTCGACTGAGTGAAACGAAAGGAGACTTATTGCTTTTCACTGCCAGGTTGCCTAGCAAAATACTTCTTTCTTCCTTTATCTTTCCATACCGTTTTTCCCGTTCGACTACTGGTTCTAGGTTACCTCTGAT